AAAAAATAATAATAATTACAGTAATATTAATAATATTAGATAGATAGGTTACCACTCATCGGAAAGCCCAATGCACGCTATACTTTTTTCCCTTGTTCTCTTTCCGCTTTACAATAGAATACTTTTCCCCACCGACCTGCAGATGGCATTCTGAAACCATCTCAACTCCCTGGGAAGCGTACAGTGCAAGCTGCTACATGTTTTTCAGTAACTGCAACAAGAACCCCAACAATAAATCCAACAATAACTCCAACAATAACGTCAACAATAACTCCAACAATAACTAGTGTTCAAAAAGTCTTGCTCTTGACGCTCATAATGACATTATGCAGTTGCGAGCGCCGTAAAACCTCTACTAAATCAGACAAAATCTTGCTCCACTGACCACTGGCTATTTTCCCGGACGCGTTGCTGAAGTCGATGCGGAGGAACTTTGCGAAACGGCTGGAGTTGTTGTTCAGCTTGGTGCGTGCGTTACCAAACGCTTCCAGGAGAGGGTTCACCTGGCGGGGTAGAGGAAGTAGATGATGATGACAACATAACAACAACAGCAGCAGCAGCAGCAAATAAAAACAACAACAACAACAACAAAACTTCAACAACACAACAATAACAACAACAACAACAACAGCAATGACAACAAAGACAACAATAACAACAACAACACCACCAACAACAGCACTTCAATAACACAACAACAACACCAACAGCAACAACAATAACAACACCACCACCAACAACAACAACAACAACAACAACAATAGCATAAGAACCACAACAAACGCTTCCAGGAAACAACTCACCAAATAACTTTACACCTGAGACAACTCACATGTATAACTTTACACCTGAGACAACTCACCTGTATAACATTACACCTGAGAGACAACTCACCTGTATAACTTTACACCTCAGAAACAACTCACCTGTATAACTTTACACCTGGCACCACTCACCTGTATAACTTTCTATATTATATTTACCTGAGAAACAACTCACCTGTATAACTTTACACCTCAGAAACAACTCACCTGTATAACTTTACACCTCAGAAACAACTCACCTGTATAACTTTACACCTGGCACCACTCACCTGTATAACTTTACATCTGAGAAACAACTCACCTGTATAACTTTACACCTGAGAAAACTCACCTGTATAACTTTACACCAGAAACAACTCACCTGTATAACTTTACACCTGACACAACTCACCTGTATGACTTTACACCTGAGAAACAACTCACCTGTATAACTTTCTCCTCCAGGTTGTCCAGCTCGCTCCCGCCAATGGCCATGAGGTGCCTGACCATGTACTTGGTGGCCTCTGTCTTTCCCGCCCCGGACTCCCCCGACACCAGGATGACCTGTGGTCAAGCAACAGTAACTCTTTACAGACCTAACGGGTGCACACACACACACACACACACACACACATATA